TCTTTGAAGGGGATAACAAGAAAGTTATTGACCAGATTAATGGTCTAAGACTCAAGTTTGGAACTTATAATTTGGATCCGTGATATTCATTCTTGGAGTCAACGTTTTGAGAAGATTCAGTTTGTTTGGCTGGTCGTCTTCATATAATACAATGGCATACCTTGGCAAAACATCCTTTACCAGCTAATGAGCTCTTTTAATATCATTTTATATATCTCGTGTTATCACTAATGAACTGTATTGTGATTATGTAAACTCTACTATTTATTCATTAGATGGTATAATTGAAAATAACAAACGTTCTATTGTATATTTGAAAAGTGATACTTGTAGTGTTGTAGTTTTGAAATTTCGCGCTCTAGGTTCATTTTAAATACTTTTTTGAACAGTATATAGTGTGGCCATTTTTTTTTCGTGTATTAAGTATGCAAACTATGTCAACAATATCTCTCGTTTTGTTTGTAACATTGTTGACATGGTTTGCATTGGATCTAAGTTAGATCACTTCCTGTATCGGCGATGGCCAGGACTGTAAACGGTGGAGTACCGATTGAAATGATCATGAAGTATTTACCGCCGATTCCCATTAAACTGGAACGGAGATCAGTTTTGGTTGAGAAATAGCGGGAACGAGAGATTGAACGAACACTAGTTAAAAATCTGGCTATAGCTATTGTTTCTTTCATGATTAATGCAAAAATACTGTGGCTATATGGTCTATAGCCACGAAAAGTTACGTAAAAAAATCGTGTTTATACGATTATGACTAATTTATTTTGTGACTTTCGTAACTTTATAGCCAAGAATTAGTCACTGATATTTTTTGTGGTAATTAGTCACGAATTAGTCACATAGTAATTCGTGTCTACCTAGCCACGATTAAATCATGACTATAACGTGGCAATATTAGGCACGGTATTAGGTTTTTTGTGACTAATCATTAAGTCACATAATCGTCATGGAATTACCGTGACTAATCGTATTTATAAACAAAAAAATATATTTGATCGTAAAACAATAAACCTAAAATGCCAAAACACGTTGAAAGCCAAAAAAAAATGAAAACCAATAATCTCAAATACTAAAACAAATTTCATACATCAAAAAATTTAGTTAATCCAGTATTCATACATTAAAGTTTCACAAGTTGGAAATCTATAAAACAAACAATTACTTTACAATTTTGACGTTCTTGACGACAAAAAAGAAAAAAAAAATTGGCCTTCTACAAATCTTTAGCAGCCAGTGGTCGTGAACACTTTGCGGTGAGGATGAAGAAGCGATGACGGGATTGGCAGCACGAAATCAGCGGTGAGCCTCTGAGGGACGCTTTGAGGGCGACAGTTCTGAAAGAAAAAAAGAGCTAGATCTGAAAAAAAATAAGAAGTGGAAGAAGAGAACGAAGGAGATGAAACGGACTTACAGTGGATCGACAACGATGGTGGTTTACAGCGTCGGCAGAGGGAGATCTGAAGAAGACGAAGAGCGAGAGGAATAGAGGAAGAAGAGGAAGAAAGAGAAGACAAGGGCGATCTGAAGCAGACGAATAGGGAGAATAAGAGAGGACGAGAAGAAGTAACAGAAGAAGATGAGGAGAAACAGAAAAAGAGAGGAAGAAGAAGAGAAATCGAGGAAGAGGACGGAGAGGAGAAGAGAGAATATTGTTTTTGTCGAAAAGAAAAAAAAAAAGGAATGAAAAAAACAAGGGAAAGATTTGTGTGCGTTGGATTTACTTTTATCAACGGTTGGGGACCAATGAGAAATCTCCTTCTTTATTTGTATTTTGAAAGTTTAAATATTATGGGTTTAAATGGTATGCAGCTTTTTCACGTTTTCACGTTTTGGAAACTTGATTCTGTTATTTTTTACCATTCATGTTATTCATCATGTTTTCACGTTTTCACGTTTTTTTATGTTTTTGAAACGTGATTCCGCTAGCGTGTTAAAAATATAACTAAAAAAAACAAAACGTGATTAATCTACTAAAAGTAGCTTTTCAGTGTTTCACAATTATTCAGCTAAAATATTATTCAGTTCAGTTCATTCCGCTAGTAATTTTTCAGTTATTCTGCTATTCTGTTATTCATCTGACATACCAGTCAGACCCTATGTTTCTTTGTAAAATATTTATGATCTTAAATATTGTTTGCAAAGTCAGTTGAAAAACATGTCTCACTAATAATTAAAAAATCAAATATTTTGGTTTTGTAATTTTGTATTTAGTTTTTATGTTTGAGTGTAAAGTTTAAGAATTGGGTTCATAATTTAGGGTATGAAATTTAAATTTTAAGATTGGAAATATTAGGTATAGAATTTAAGATTTATAAAAATGATTAGATTTGAATATTTTGAAATCTATTATATATATGGATTTAATTTGAATTTTGGATATATAGTGATTAGTTATGTTGAAGGTTTAGGATTTAGGGTTTAGGGTTTAGGGTGAGGGTTAGGGCTTTAGGGTTTAAAATCTAAGATTTTGAATATAATTTATATTTGAAAATTTGTTAAGTGTTTGAGAATATGTAGATTGTATATAAAGTTTGGATAAAGATGATGCAAAATAATGAAAAAAAGAATATTATTTGTTATAAAGGTTGCATTTTTTGTATACGAAGGTTTAGATATAAGGGTTTGAAGAAGTAGTTTAATAGAAATGTTGATTTGTGGCTTAATATATGTTTAGATACTTAAAATTTAAAGTTTAAAGTGTATGATTTACAGCTTACTTTAAAATTTAGAGTTTTCATTTTGGATTTAAAGTTTAAAGTTTAGGGAATAAAGAAAACTACATATTAACCAAAATGTTTAAGGATTTGAATTTTGGTATACATATGTGTTTTATATTTAGGGTCTAGGGTTCTAATTTTGGTTAAGGGTTTGAATTTTGGTGTATATACGTGTTTTACATTTAGGGTCTAGAGTTTGAATTTGGTTAAGGGTTTGAATTTTGGTTACGAGTTTGAATTTTGGTGTACATATGTGTTTTACATTTAGAGTTAAGGATTTGAATTTTGGTGATGTGTTTTACATTTAAGGTCTAGGGTTTGAATTTGGTTAAAGATTTAAATTAAGTTAAGGGTTTGAATTTTGGTGTACATATGTGTTTTATATTTAGGGTATAGGGTTTGAATTTGGTTAAATGTTTGTATTTTGGATTTATGGCTTGAGTTTAAGGGTTAAAGGGTTTAGTTATATTTGATTATAACTAATTAACTATGCAAGTGTTAAAAATATTTTAAGGATTAAGAATTAAATTAAAATATACCTAAATATTATCTTTCTAAGATTAAATATACAAACTTTAAACCCAAAAATAGAAACTATTAACCAAATTGTTTAGTTATGTTTAGTTATATTTTAATTTACCGATTCTGTTTAGTTATATTTTAATTTAAAACATAATATTCTTAATCTTTTTTAAGTAGTAAGAAAAACAAAGTTTAATTATACATATACTTGAAAATATGTTGAAACTTAAGCAAAATCAATATCAATATCAGAATCAGAATCACAAATTGAAAATATGTTGAAAATGTGTTAATAATGGTTAATTATACAAAATTGCCACGAAATTAGAGTGGTTAAAGAGTGGTTAACTTTGCCATTGCTATTGTCGTGACTAAACCGTGACTGCAATTGCCACGAAAAAGCCATAATATTTGTTCGTGATTATGTTGCCACAAAATATTCGTGGCTAATTAGTGGCTAACCTTGCTACACCAGATTTTGTGACTAAAACGTGACTACATTTACTATGAATTATCACGAAATTGTCACATTTCTTTCTTTTTCTGTTTACGTGACTTTTTGGTGGTTTTTTCATGATTTGTTTCAGAAAAACCACGACATTGTCATGACTCTGTCGTAGCTATAGCCTGTTTTTTACTAATGGAATGAAAGCGGCGTTGAGATGGTCGGGAGACGGTGTGGAAAGGGTTGTAGAGTGGAGAACGAGGAGAGTGACAGTGGATTAGCTTGACGGTTAGGGTTTTCCGCTGAGCTGAACAAGAGTGAACCATAAAGATGACGATGGCTAATAGAAAACAGTAGAGTAATGTTTGGTTTGCCATTTTCGAATATTTTTTTAGATACAGTTGTTTAATTTGTGGTGGAGTGAGGAGTGAGAGTTTGCAAGGATTTATAAAGGATACAAAATATAGCATCCTTAGATTATAAGTAATTATATCTAGTCGTTTACTTTATGAAAAATTGCAGCTAATCAATAAAAATGTAAAATGGCAAAAAATTGAAAAGAAAAATTTCATCAAAAAGAGTAAAAAAGAAAAAAACTATAACAAATAAAGATTAAAAGGATATGATTTTATTCAAAAAAGCTGAAAAGGAAAACTGAAACAAATTATATAGATAACAATTTATAAGTTTATAAAGAACTAAAAAGTAAAAAAAAAAGGAAAACTATTTCAGATTCAGACATTTGTAAATAGATTTAAAGTTAAAGTTTATCAAGAAAAATGTAAAAAAGAAGAAACTTGAACAAAGTAAGAAAAAAATATACTTAATTATATAGATAAACATGATATAATTTATTAAAATTTAAAAAGAAGTAAAAAGGAAATAATATATTTCAAAATATCAAAAACAAAAAATTGAACTAATTAAGAAATAAAATATTTAGATAAATTAATAAAAAGTAAGAAAAGAAAGTAAAAGAAATAAAAACTAATATAAACTACGAAAGAGTTTTTTTTAAAAATAGTTTGTGATGGAGTATGAGATAAGATTGAACGACGAGGAGTTAACCGCCGTGGTAATTAAGAAGATGATGTTAGCTGCAATTTTCATTTAAATTGCTTAGAAAGAAAAAAAAAAATCAAGACGAAACTAAGAAATATTGTAGATATTTTATTGATACTCAATATTCGTTATATTGCCATAATTATGAATATCAGAATACTCAAACACTTAGCGACACTGTTTTGCTTCACAAGTGACAAACGCATTCCATGGGCTGAAATGACACTGTTCTAGTCTCCAAGTTAAACCCGACACGAATCCATGGGCTGAAATGACACCGTTTTAGTCTCCAAGTTAAACCCGACACGGAAACCCATCTGAATCATATTCCCATAGATAGCGACTCCAGTTGCCGGAACGATAGTCAAGCACACCGTATCTGCACTCGTTTTCACGTACGCGTTGCCTAAGTTCAGCTTCACGTCTGCATCCTTGAAATGCATTGTTATCTCCGGCACAGTGGCCGTTTTGTCTACGGATTTGAAACAGTAAGGTAATAGCCCCTGTGGATCACTCACACGTTTAACTCCGGTCGCTGATTTCTCCACCGCCGTAACAAAATCGTCGTAAAAACTGGAATCGATCATCGTAAATGTAGTTCCGGAATCGACTATGATGTTCCCAGCGTCGTTTACACCGGATCTTCCTCCTCCTCCGGTGTACGGAAGATTGGTTTTGCCGACGGTGATTGCTTAGAGGGTTACGTGATAGAAAGTGTTTGGGTATTTTTCGACCAACGGCGTGGTGGAACCTTTGCTTGGGTTAGAAGGTATCGAGTTGGTTCCTAAGTTTAGGACGTTTGTGCCATTTGATGTAGATGACGGGTATGACAAGCAATACGAGAACTTCTTCCCTATCGAAGAACCGAGCTGGGAAATTAACGACAAGGGACCTCCTCCGAGTCCGATGATTCCAGATCCGGCTTGTTCGAACGTACCGACGTTGTTGTAACTGCAACCGATGATTGTACCGGGGAAAGAAAGAGAGGAAGAACCAATAGATAATGTTTCGGTTGCAACGTCTCCTTTGGTGGACGATCCGCCTCCATAAGAGTATTGGTATTTGCAGATGTTTCTAGATTGGTCGCATCCATCTTTGAATATGGATAACTCCTGGCAGGCTTTGGAAACGCATGGTTCGGTTTTGTACGTCGAAGACTGGTTCCTGTCGAAGATTGGACCGTCTTGTTCGTAACATCGTTGACATGGTTTGCATTGGATCCAAGTTAGATCACTTCCTGTATCGGCGAGGGCCATGACTTTAAGCGGTGGAGTACCGATTGACATGGCCATGAAGTATTCGCCATCGTTTCCGACTAAACCGGATAGGATATCGGTTTTGGTTGAGAAATGTTGGGAACGGGAGATTGAGCGGAGGAAAGCGGCGTTGAGACGGTCGGAGACGATGTGGAGAGGGTTGAAAAGTGGAGAACGGGGAGAGTCGCGGTGGATTAGCTCGACGGTTAGGGTTTTCTGGTGAGCTGAAGAAGAGGGAGCCATGAAGATGAAGATGGCTAATAGAGAACAGTAGAGGAGTGTTTGTTTTGCCATTTTTGATTATTTGTTGGATAGTTTGTGGTGGAGTGAGTGAAAGTTTGCAAGGGTTTATAAAAGGTACAAAAATATAGCATCTTTAGATTGCAGCTAATCTATCACCAATCATCTTCTTATTGAAGATTACATCTAATCTATTAATTATCTTCTATTTGAGCTTCGTTTCATATAAAGATGATATTTTACACTATTATTTAAAAAGGTAAAATAAAATAAAAAGAAAAAAAAAATCTAAATAGATACCAACATAGAAAATTCTCATATTTACTATTAAAAACAAGTTTTTGAGCCAAAAATCAAAAATGACAGAAAAACTAAAACTGTTTTAGTTATACCTTTTTTTATTTGATCTTTTCCATCTTACTCTTTATAAGAATCTTTATATCTTAAGAAGCCATTCCTAAATCAAAATTCTTCCTCAACTATTTAGGAATACATTCATAAATCTGTATGATCATATCCTAAACAATTGAAATAGACAATTTCTAAATTTTATTAATGATAATATATTTTATTGGTTACACACACCCAACTTTCATATTTTTGAGTTCTCCAAGTTCATGGTTCGATTCTATCTAAGTGCATAAATATATTATTTAACTAGTTTATTAAGTATTTAGAAATATATTTCTAAATATGTACGATTAAATCTTAAAATTTTCAAAATTAGTATATTTTGTATGATCGATTTCATCAAAATCTCACTTCATATAACTGCATTTCACAACATTAGTTTTTGACTATTTGAAGAAAACCTTTTTTAACTTGTAAAAAAACCTTCTAGATTTGTAAATAAATGAATTGAGAAGTTGGCTGCTCCACTCTCCGTAAACTTGTAAAAAAGCTTTGTAGAATGATGATGTAAATGAAAATAGAGAACTGAGTTTTTTAACATTTTTACCCCAAAAAAAAAAATGAAAATAGAGGATAAGATAGAGTAAAGGGAAAACTCTGAGACCCCTAAGCAATCGATCATTAGTCCACAAAAACATAACCTTAGCTTCTTAGAATTGAGGATTCCAATACTGCATTTTTTATATGAAATATTTTGTCTTCACTTGAATTCTTTAGACAATGGTGTTGCCATTTTGTTTTTCGTGTTTCAGAAAATAAACATAAAAAATAAAGATGAAACTACGAACTATTTTTTATTAATACTCAATCCTCGATAAAGTGCAATATGAATATCAAGATTACTCAAATGCTAGGTCTCAATCGATACCGGTTCGCTTCACAAGCTACCAGAGCAATCCATGGGCTGAAACGACACCACTTTCGTCTCCAAGTCATACCCGACAAGAAAATCCATCTGAACCAAATTCCCGTAGATAGCAACTTCAGTTGTCGGAATCATACTCAAGCACACCATGTCCTCACTCATCTTCACGAACGCGTTGATCGGACTCAGCTTCACGTCGGCTTCCTTGAAATGCATTGTTATCTCCGGCAAACCGATCGATTTGTCTCCGGCTCTGAAACAGTGTGGTAAAATCCCCTGTGGATCACTCACAGGCTTAGCACCAGTCACAGATTCTTCCACCGCCGCACCAAAATCATCGTAAAATCCGGATTCGAGTAGCGTGAGAGTAGTTCCGGAATCGATTATGATGTTTCCAGTGGTTTCCTTCTTTGATTTTCCAGCGTCGTTTAAACCGTATCCACCTCCTCCGGGGTACGGAAGCTTGTTTTTGCCGACGGTGATTGCTTCAAGTGTTAAGTAATAGTAAGTGTTTGGGGTTTTTACGACTAACGGAGTAGTAAGCACAGCAGAATCTTTTCTTGGTTCAGAAGGTATCGAGTTGGTTCCAAGGTTTATGACGCTTGTGCCGTTTGTTGTAGATGACGTGTGTGACAAACAATACGAGAATTTCTTTCCTATCGAAGAACCGAGCTGGGAAATTAACGATAATGGACCGCCTCCGAGTCCGACGATTCCAGAGCCGGTTTCTTCGAACGTACCGCCGTTGTTGTAACCGCAGCCGAAGACTGTACCGGGGAAAGAAACAGGGGAGGCAGAGGAGGACTCAATGGATACCGTTTCTGTTGCGATGTCTCCTTTGGAGAACGATTCGTCTCCGTAAGAGTAACGGTATTTGCAGATGTCTCTCGACTCGTCGCATCCTTCTTCGTTTTCGGATAACGCGTTGCAGGCTTTGGAATCGCAGGATTCGGTTTTGTAGGTCGAAGACTGCGTCTTGTCGAAGATTGGACTGTTTTGTTTGTAGCATTGTTGACATGGTTTGCATTGGACCCAAGTCAGATCACTTCCTGTGTCGGCGATGGCCAGGACTTTAGACGGTGGAGTGCCGATTAAGATGGCCATGAAGTATTCGCCGCCGTTTGCGATTAAACCGGATTGGAGATCGGTTTTGGTTGAGAAATGGCGGGAACGGGTGATTGAGCGGCGGAAAGCGGCGTTGAGACGGTCGGAGACGGTGTGGAGAGGGTTGTATAGTGGAGAATGGGGAGAGTCACGGTGGATTAGCTCGACGGTTAGGTTTTTCCGATGAGCTGAAGAAGTGGGAGCCAAGAAAATGATCATGGCTAAGAGAAAACAGCAGAGGAATGTTTGGGCTGTCATTTTTCGATTTGGTTTGAAGAGTGTGTGTGTTGTATTGAGTGAGTGTTTGCAAGGGTTTTTAAACGACACAAAAGGGAATGCGGAAAGATTGAAACGGCAAGGAGTTAAGCGATGTGGTAATTAAGAATTTTCATTAAGATTGGTACGTTATTGAGAGGTTTAGTGGAGGTGTGGGATGATTAATGGCTAAGAAATAAACAGATGTGACTTCTGAGTTTCGTTTGGTTTTTGACTCCATCAAAATACTATAAAAGATGCTAGCTACATTTTACTATGATTAAAGATCCCATTCATCATGTTTAACGATTTTTTTTTTAATTTTTGACGACGATGTTTAACGAATTAATAGTAGCTTTGGGCCTTTGGCTTTGATTACTATTGTATAATATTTATTGTTCTGATTCGACCAATTAACATAAAATATACTATTATAGATTGAAGTTTATTTATACTTCTGGTTTACTTCTGTGAGCATTTTCTCCAAACCGAAAAGAACCAAAACAACAGAACGAACCAAACCCCAAAAACCCAATTTCTCAGTCATCAAAATCTAACTTTGCTGATGCCTTTTTCGTCATTTTGATGATCTCAGCTGCTTCTTTTCGCATCTTCTGTTGTTCCTTCAGTGCCCTCTTCAGCATTTTCCTCTGATCTTCCACTGAAAACGCATTCAAATCGGATAAAAACTCGTCGAAATCCATGTCTCTCTCGCGGCCAGACGGGTGAGCAGCAGCAGCGGCGCTGAATGATTTGCTGCTTTTGATGTTCTTCTTCTTGTTGGATGATTTGCTCGGAGAACGGAAGATGAATCCGATGACTTTTGACGGAGACAACTTGTCAAACCACGAGCTTGAGGACTTGGGTTTCGATTTCGATTTCTTTTCCGGCTCCGAATCCGATGATGGTGGTGTAGCTGTATCAATCGAAGATGCTGATCCGATTCTGCGCTTCTCTTTACGGAGCTTCTGGGTTTGTTTAGCCGGCGCGAAAATCTTACTCTCGCTCGATGAGCTCGAACCGATGTTTCCGGAATCCGAGAAATCCCCACTTCCATCTGAGACAAGCCCAGCTCGCGAGCTTTTCTCGATACCCGATTTCAAACCCAGATCGCGTTTGTTTCCTGAGAAAACACTCGAATCCTCACCAGAACCACAATTTTTACCTGGATTTCGTCTGTTTCCCGAGAAATTCCCGTCTTCCTTAGGGTAATCCGCCACGCTCTTCGAGTGCGCCAGATGCTTCTTCCTATTCTTAGACGAAGACGAAGAAATCGGGTCGGGTCGATGAGCCGGAAGAGACTTGAGGCGACGGAAGCGAGTTTCGAGATCATCTGGAAGAGTAGAGTCGGTGAAGGCAGAACAATTGATTGCAGCTACTTGCTCCAAAGCCGAAAGCTCCTTCGCCTGCGAAATGAGCTCTTCCACAGCTGAATCATCTGTATCCGAAAGATACCCAAAATCCGCCATTTCTGGGTGAAAATGAAGATTTTTTAGGGTTTTTTGCTTTTGGGCAAGCAATGAGGGGGAGAGAGAGAAAGAAAGTAATGAAAAAGTCGCCACAACGGCTAATTCATGATTTTGTCAGTTACGCTGGCTCCGATACTGTGCGCGTCAATTTTGATGACTCTTGTTCTGTGTTAAAAAGTCTTTTAGTGTGGGACCCAACAAAAATGCTTGATTACTGATTAGCCGCGTTTAATTACTTTATTAAAGACATTTTAATTTCAATTTGTGCTTGAAGATTCAATTAGGAGAGTGATGTAATAAGTAAGAACAAGCTTAATTTGTTTTCACTAATTAAACTTCCTGTAATCCTGTGACTAAAAAAGAAAGATCTGTGGTTTCTTTGTTACAATTTGATTTACAATGGATCAAGCTCCTTGTACGATGATGCTACGGAAACCCGGTCTTGTTCGAGCCGGTGATAAACCGGTTTAGTTCTCATGTACAGCAACAGACTTGAAGCGAGGCCGATAAGGGACAAGCAACCCCAAAACAGAAACGTTTTGAAGTAACAATCTCTTCCGATGCAAACGACTGAGTCAGACACGACAGATCTTATCTCGGGGCTTGCGTTGGCCTCGTAGATGGATGCAGCAATGAAACCGTATAAGAGCGAGCCGATGGGTATGTTTGTGATGAGAATGTTGTGGTTAACACCTACACTATTGGGTCCAAAGAGATCAGATGTTATGGAAACCGCAGCCGCAAAAATGAAACCAGAACTCAGACCGATTAAGGCGGTTGCGGTCTGCAATGCTGCTTGCTGTAAGGAGGATATCGCCAGTAAAAAGAAAGCGATAGGAGTTGGCAAGAGAGCGATTGCAAACCAGCCGGTTCTTGTCAAACGAAATCTCCTGCAAGATCCAATATACTCAATGAGGATTGTGATCCCAAATTTCACATTAGACGTTACTTATCTTACGAGTGTCACTTACTTGTGCATAAAATCTGGTGCAGCAGAGAGTAACCGACCGAAGAAGGAGAATGAAGAGTAGATCGTGACGAGGGTTGTAGAGCTTTGTCCCAAAGACTGAGAAATCTGTCCCAAATTGTTGCTATAAACAAGGCCAATCGTGCCACCACAGAAATACGCAATGTAGTATAACCAAAACTCCAATCTACTTATGAGCAGTCGAAAGGAATGTTCATCACCAAGCCTCACTATGTTCTTCTGATTCGCACTTCCCGTATGTTCATACCCGGTTTTGCTGGACTTGAGCTCGTCTATGTTAAGCATAACATAGCCAGAGCTTTCATGGTGGAAGCGTTGGTTAATGGCAGGAAGAAAGTAATCCCAAGCGTAAACGAGAAGAGGAGCACACAAGGGGAAAACCATAAGGAAGATAGCTCCAAGGAAGTGCAAACGAGCTGAAGTACTCGAACTGGATAGGAGAAGGTGGAAACTGGTCATGACGGCGAATACATTCATGATGGCAAACACATGGGAGTCATGCCGTCGTGATTCGTTGTCTGGTGCAGGGTCTATAGATGGTTTAGTGAGAACTGGGAAAAGCGCAGCGAAGGAAACCATAAGGGGAACCAGTGAGTTCAGCAGAAGGTATAGATTTGAGGACGACGGGTTAATTGCATTGAAAGCGAGTGAGTATAAGGCTGCACTGATTCCATTGAAGCTTACCGTAAGAGATAAGGCGAGTGCACGGTTGTTCGGGAAATGGCGGATGCAGAGGATGAAACATGCTGTGTTGAACCAACAGATGCTTAATCCAGCCAATAAGCAGCAGAGAAACACCTAACATTTCAAAAGATTTGATCAACACATCGAAGCAAATGCTGTTCTTTCATTATTCTCATAAACTGTGTTATATAAATTCCAAATTCAAGTCAGATTATTGATCTACAAGAACTGAAGCAAAGAGAAAACGATTCTTGTTCTCTCTGTTTTTCTTCTAATCAAAGGTTTTTTTAGCCCAAGAATTTTCAAAATCTGCGAAAAAACTATTGCTAATTCGCTATGTCCTGAGATGATATCGATAAACAAGAAATTCGTGTGAATCTTTCGAATTCAAATAGCAGAATTTCGAAAATGTACCAGAAAATAAGGCAGAGTGATGATGTTGGTGATGACGAGCCACTGAACCCCATAGCCAACAAAGCCCATAACAGCCGCCGCGAAAAGAACGACGGAGAGAGGGAGATAACCTAGAGCGATCCCCGACGACCACCCGAACGCTTTTCCCAAATCAGAAGCCACCGCGAGGTAATTCAACCTCACCTGAGAAATCCCGAGCACTGATTTGAGATGAGAGGAGTAAGCCGAGAAATCGAAGTTGGTTCCCGTCGATGCCTGGATCCAGATCGCCGCAACGAGCACAGTCCATTTCCGCCAGCGACCGAACATGGTCCTGAGAGGCGGCGGGTGTTTACGGTGAAACTTTCCTTCGCCGTCGTCGAGATCCTCGTCGAAGGAGGCTCGGTTAGGTCGGAGTTTGTCTGAGGCATCTCTGATACGAGGTCTCATATACAAGGGAAGAAGATGATAATGGAATGGGAGGTGATGTTGATGTTGACCGATGGAGTAAAAAAGCGTACAGAGTTGTTGATCTACCGCTTTTGATCTTTTTTGAAGAGAAGGGTTTTTTGGGATTTTTCTGGGAATTTTGTTTGTTTTTATATCTCTCTTTACATATTAACTAGGTCACCTGCGCTATGCTGCGTGATATTTTTCTAGATTTATATATACTTTTAATATAATAAAATTATTTATATATTTTAAATAAGTATTATATTTATTTTTTATTAATTTAAGTTATTATTTATATGTTTTAAATCTAAATAAATATTATATATCATTAATTTTTTTATTTTTTTAAATTATAATCTACTATCAAATTTGTTTAGCTAACTATCTATAAATGTATATGTAAGAATAAAACAATATATTTTAAGTACCTTTAAGCTAATGGTAGATATAATTTATTTTCTCTACTAAATTGCTACTTAATCCTCCTTTGAAATTATATAAAGCAAATTGTCATTTAAAAAATAAATAAATAATATGATTATTTTAAATTATAAAATTTATTTATTTATCATATATTTATTATAGACATATGTTTGTAAAACTACCAAACTATAATCAATAACATTCATATCAAAATCATTACTATTACTTTAGAACTAAATATAAAGTTCTATTTGAACTGTTGAAATATCAATTTAGTTGAAGTTAAATAATTCAATTTTGGTTACTATAAACATATTATAACTTGAAAATTTAGCACAGAGAAATTTTATTTTTTTACAAAAACCGAGAAATTGTATTTTCCGACAAAACAAAAAAAAATTATTTTCCACGAAACTGAGAAATCGCCTATTCCCGCCAAAACCAAAAAAAATTATTTTCTCATCAAACCTGAAATTTTATTTTCATACCAAAACAAAGAAATTGCATTTTCTCTCAAAAACCAAAAAATCACATTTTCCCGCGAGAACCTGTGTTTTTCCGTCAAAACAGAGAAATCAAGTTTTTTCACCAAAACCATAAAATTTCATCTTCCAGCAAAAACAAAAAATAGTATTTTTTCGTCAAAACCAAAAAAATATTTTCCCGCAAAAATCGAGAAATCGTCTATTCCCACCAAAACAAGAAAAAAATTATTTTTCTCATCAAATCAAGAATCACGCTTTCCTACCAAAACCGATAAACTATAATTTTCCGCAAAAACCAAAAATTGCATTATCTCCTGAGAAATTGCATTTTCCACGAAAATTAAGAAATCATATTTTCTCTCAAAAACCAAAAATCAAATTATATGTCAAGAACTGAAAATTTGCATTTCCCATCAAAACCAAGAAATTGTTTATTCCCGCCAAAATCAAAAAATTTTGCTTTTCTATCAACCCGAAAATTGCATTTTCTGCCAAAATTGTCAAATTACAATTTTCCGCAAAAATCAAGAAATTATATTATCCATCAAAAGCCGAAAAATTGCATTTTCTATCAAATCCGAGAAATCGTATTTTTCGTCAAAATTGAAAAGTTGCATTTCCCTCGCATTTTCTCGTCAAAATCAAATTTTTTATTTCTCACTAAAACCAAAAATTCATATTTTGCCTCCAAACCCGAGAATTCGGTTTTTCCGCCATAACCGAGAAACTATGTTTTTCTACCAAAACTGAAAATCATATTTTTCTACCAAAACCAAGAAATTTTCTATTTCCGCCAAACCCAAGAAAATTTGTTCTCGATAACCAGTGGAAATGCGAATCTCCAAGCTGTGGTGGTCTGAGTTTCTCCTCATTTGCTTTCGCCTTCCATTTTTTTTTGTAAACTTTGGGCTTTTTAATGGGTCAGCAAAATAGTAAATTGATTTTATTAGTGTGTTAATAATATGTATTATTGTTATGTTTTTATTGGTTCAATTTTTTGTGATGTGTGAGCTTCTTATAACATAACGCTTTTTGCATTGTTGTTATGGAAGCATAGTTGATGATGAGTCTATACTTTTTTCAATCATATATGTCTCTATCAAGCAAACACATAGATAAAAATTTTAATTTTTTTGCTGTTATTTATTATTTGAGTTTCGGTTTGGCAAATATATAAAACAAATATTTAATTTTATTATTTGTTGTTATTTATTATTTGGGTTTGTTAAAAAAATAAAATAATTTTTTTTTTATTTGCTGTTATTTATTTTATGGGCTTGGGCTTGACCAAAAAATAAAACAAAAATTAACAATAAAAAATATTTGAGTTTTTAATGGGTTTAAATTTAAAAGTTAAAATAACTTGATGACTTGTATTAATGAAATATTTTTATTGGTGTTTTTTTTACTGAAGTGTCATCTTCTAAAAGCTTGAAAATGCTGATGTGTCAAGTCATGGAAAGACTTATGGGTTATTGTTTGTGTTGATTTTTGGTGATTGTGTGACATCATTTTGTTTATATTGCCACGTCGATGACAATCAGAGAGAACAAGATGAATAAATTGTTTATTTTCAAGTGGAAAATTTTCTTGGGGATAATTGGAAAATACAAAAATGAATAAATTAAAAAATAGATAAAGAAATAAACCACTTTGTTTATATTTTAGAGTTTGAAAATTAGTATTTAGTTAATTTTTAAAATTCGACACTATCTTAATTTTAATACAGTATAATATTTAAATACATATTAATTTGTGCTGATTGTGACACCCACTAACTATAATTGAAACAAAAAATTTTATTTGAAGTGAATTTTCTATTAAACTTTTTTTTTAAGTGGGTTATTGAGTAATTCTTGAGATATATGTTTATAGTTTTATACGTATCAGGAGAGTATCACGCGATGCGTAGATTTTTTTTACAAAAATATTAACTTATAATTTATAATAATTGGTGTGAAAGTTTTGTATATAAGTTTTGGAATAGCTTAAGTTAAAAGGATTATAATGATTATTTTTTTATGCATGAGATGCATTGGTATTATATTTTATGTTTGCCAAATATATTGTTAGATATTAAAACATTTAACATCGGCCAAACACTATAAAAGATTATGAATTGTATGATGATTAGTATTATCTTTTATGTCTTGCAATGGAGATATATACTACTAAAGAGCAAAGCCTCGCACACCAATTTTTTACAAAAAAATGACAAATCATTTAATCAGTTAAAGATGATCATTAGAATCACATTAGAAATTAAACATCTTCTTCCCACATTAGACCATACATATTATCTTCATGTAAGCGCTCATATTCGAGACATACATATGAGTGCCTCGGACAAGTCTTTTGTGCTCGGACAAATAGTTTATTTATAATTGAATCTATTTCAGAAGACAAAGTTTAAAGTATGCGATGGTATTACATTGTTTCTATTCCGTACTCTTATTATTCCGGTCATGCTGTCATGCCACCACTTTTAGCTTGTACACAACAAAATGATTCACAACAGAAGCAAACATCATACAATGCAGAATCTCAGCAGATTACATTTTGACTGTCTGAGAAATAAGCTAGAGAGATCAGAAAGAGCAGATACCTCGCTTCACAGGCTTTGACTGTTTAGTAACATTTGACTTGTTTTCACGTTGTGTGTGTTGAGGAGATTCTTGTTTGACCAGGCATGTTAGGAATTGAACCATGTTATATCTATGTTTTGCCCAGGCATGTTAGGAATTGAACCATGTTATATCTATGTTTTGACCAGGCATGTTAGGAATTGAACCATGTTATATCTATGTTTTGCCCAGGCATGTTAGGAATTGAACCATGTTATATACGATGATTCTTTCAGCTTTTCTGTTGCAAGAAGATGGCATTACTTGATGTTAACCCCAACAAACATAAGAGATAATCATGTTTCGTCAGTTTCTGCGTCTAGATCGGTATACCGACAAAAGATACCAAATTTGTAGCAGCATAGGGATTACCTGCTGGCAGATCTGTCAGGTTATATCGCCTTTCTCTACACCAACGCTCAATCTCATAAATCATAAACACCACTGGAAGAAAAACCTTCATGTCCTTCCATAAATCATAAATAGCAAACCGATTTCCTTTCGAATACAAACTTTTACTGTGGCTAGAAAATCAGCAGTCTCTTCCAGTAATTGTGGGACTTTTTGCAACCATATTACCAAGTAGAATTCTGCAACAATCTACAACAAAAAGTATGTCTTCACCTTCATAGCAGCATCGAAGAAAGTCGTCATTCTATAATTTTTTAATTGACAAACACCATTGGATTCTGAATGGGTAAGGCTAGAGAACCCAATGAAATCGGCAGAAAGAGATGAAATACCTGGAAGAAATATGGAAGAATAACAAATAGATAGAAAAGAAAGAGGGAGAGGTTTATCGGCGGAATTGATTTGTAAGCCGTGAAGGTGAAATTGGAGGTAACGGCAGAGGAGAGGAGGAAGCGAGAAGAAGGAAACACTCAAAAGGATTATTTTTAACTACACATGGGGCTCCTCTTTTATATTATACATATCATAACGTAAGTTACGTAACTAATATCGAATTAAACGTAAATGAAAACAAGAACTGATTAATTAAAAGGTATTTTGCACCGTAGATTAGAAATATGTCCATATCACGTGGTTAGACCAACCAACTTATTATTCTCAAACATTCCCATCAATTGAAGTGGTTAAGATTTGGTGTGGCTTATCTTCATTAAGGTTTAAGCATAGGCTGCATTAACACATGGTTCTGTAAAACCAAATTAATTAAAGATTTTAACATCACTTATTTTAAGGAAAAATCGCATAAAAAAACTTCAATATGGGCTTAATAGCAGTAGCCCATGACTATGAATTTGACTCCAATCTCTGCCGTCTTTGCAACATTTAAATTTCCTAAAATTCCCCAACCTGGAAAAAAACCAAAATCTATTCCCTAACAAAAACCAAAAAATTGATTTCTGTGCGAGATGCTCACTTGGCATCGACGTGGCAGTTGTTAAGAGATGACAGTACACGCAACCGCTGAAGCAAGTTTCGGTCGCTCGCGAATATTCTTTCAGCAAAAACCCAACCTTCAATTCAATTCAATTCAATTCAATTTCCCAGCTGTCACTCTTTTTAGTTTTTTTTTTTTTCTTTTCAAACGACCTCTTTTTTTGTTTTTCTTCTTTCTCTCTCGCGGGTTTCGCTTTCATCAAATCAAATCTCTCATATTTGCGTCGTGTTTCTGTTAATTTCCGTCCAAAAGCTTCGTCCTTTTGCCTCCTCTGTATCGTGATTCTAGAAAGGGTATTGAAAGATTGTTTTTTTGTTGTTCTTGGTATGAGTTGATTCTAGATTGTCTTTGTAGGGTTTTGTTAAAATTAGACTCTTTTTCTTGTTGTACTTCTGATTACTGATTTTGGGTTTCTGTATTGTTAGTCCATTTTTGATGCTTATGATTTCCCTATGATTTTGATCAGATGGAAGATACAGAGGCACGTTTAGGAACTCGGGCTGTTAATGAAACCTCTCCGGATTTGTTGAAGAACACGCCTTCAAACATCGCCAGGTTAGAAGATGTAATTGAGCAATGCCGTGGCAGACAAAAGTATCTCGCTCAGACCAGGAGTCCATCGGATGGGAGTGATGTTCGTTGGTACTTCTGTAAAGTTCCTTTGGCTGAAAACGGTAAGTCATCATCCAATGTCTATGTAATTTGGGAAACATATATTTTGGAGAAGAAAGAAAAGAAGAAGAAGAAGAAGAAGAGATTGATGCATTATCCTTAAGTGTTTGTATATCCAAATTCTGATGGCATGTATTGTCATTTTGCTGCAGAATTAGCTGCTTCAGTACCTCGCACTGATGTAGTAGGAAAGAGTGAGTATTTCCGTTTTGGTATGAGGGACTCTCTTGCGATTGAGGCATCTTTCTTGCAGGTTCTTCTTCTTAATCTAAGCGTTTGTAGTTTTCTACAAGTTCTTGAATTTGACTCTTTGGTTCAAGATTTGAATGAAACTGTGATATCTAATATTTTTTTTTTCGCTCATGGCAAATTTGTGCAATAGAGAGAGGATGAGTTGCTGTCACTCTGGTGGAAAGAGTATGCAGAATGCAGCGTAGGGCCGATACCACAAGTAAATCCTAAGGATAAATCGAATAAGCCGTCAGTTGAAACTCCTTCAGAAGCTTCTGTGTCCTCTAGTCTATACGAAGTTGAAGAGGAGAGAGTTGGTGTACCTGTTAAGGGCGGTCTATATGAGGTACCACTGTGCAGAGACTTAAATTATGTTTTAGAACTCTCCTGTAAATTTAACATGTTAAAATCTTTAGGAGTCCTTAATATTCATTCAAATCGATGTTTCTGACTAAGGAACCGGAATGCTGCAGGTGGACTTGGTGAGGAGGCATTGTTTTCCAGTGTACTGGAACGGAGACAATCGGCGTGTGCTTAGAGGCCATTGGTTTGCTCGTAAAGGTGGCCTAGACTGGCTCCCAATTCCTGAAACTGTTGCTGAACAGTTGGAGGTTGCGTATCGTAACAAGGTTAAATATCTCTCCGTGGGATACATTTCGATTTTATGATCCCGGTTTACCTAGAACTAGAAGCTGTTGATGCTTTTCTTCCGTTTTTGTCTTGGTTTTTAAGGTTCAGAAATCCACTATAGTTCTCTCTTTTTGCTCCTTTATCTCTTTCTCGTTTCTTCTTGGTTGAAAAGTTCTGTTCATATCACTTGTTGATGACAATATATCTTGGATTTGTTCCACCCAGGTTTGGCGCAGAAGAAGTTTTCAACCCTCTGGTCTTTTTGCAGCTCGTATCGATTTGCAGGGTTCCAGTCTGGTATGTGTTTGATTTCTTGGGTAATTTTCTTGCCAACTAAATGGTTTCATAGATTTTAGATAACATTTTCCGAAGTTGTTAAATGTATTGTAGGGACTCCATGCTCTCTTCACCGGAGAGGATGATACCTGGGAAGCTTGGCTTAATGTTGATCCCTCTGGTTTCTCTGGCATTGTTGGATATACTGGGAATGGAATTAAGCTGAGACGCGGTTATGCCGGCTCCTACTCTCCAAAACCTACACAGGTTTTATAAATTATCCTTATGGGGACTCTATCTTTGCACTTTATACTGTGAAATGAAGTCAAGTCTCACATTTTTATTTTTCTTGATTGCTGGTATAGGAAGAACTACGTCAACAGAAGGAGGAAGAAATGGATGACTATTGTTCTCAAGTATGTTTCACTATGAAGTGCATTGCATGTAGAGCATTTGAATCCTTACCGTCAAGTTATTTTCAGAATATCTAAGTTTTTAAGCTGGTTGGAACTGTATGTTTGTGTGTTCAGGTCCCTGTTCGGCATCTTGTGTTTATGGTTCATGGTATTGGCCAAAAAGTAGAAAAGTCTAACCTTGTTGACGACGTTGGAAACTTCCGTCAAATCACAGCAGCTTTAGCTGAACGTCATCTAACCTCTCATCAACGTGGTACTCAAAGAGTTCTGTTCATCCCATGTCAGGTAGCTATATATGTAAACCCTTTTTGCTGTTTTTATCTTTCTATAGAGTATGGTTTTACTTGATATGTTCTTTTGTTTTTGTAGTGGAGAAAGGGTCTAAAGCTAAGTGGTGAAGCTGCTGTTGATAAATGTACTTTAGATGGTGTAAGGCGTTTGCGAGAGATGCTGAGCGCAACTGTTCATGATGTGTTGTACTACATGAGCCCTATTTACTGCCAGGCTATAATTGATTCGGTATTGCAATTTCCCATGTTCGATGCTCTCTTTGTCTTAAAACTGCCAAAACTGAAACCAATTTGTGATCTTAGTTTTGGAATTCTCGACAGCCTAAAACCTGATTAGACATTGTTACTTTCATCTTCTGCATCGTTGTAACGTGTGCTCCTTTGCATCTTTCAGGTTTCAAACCAGCTGAATAGACTGTATCTGAAATTTCTAAAGCGGAACCCGGAGTATAATGGAAAGGTGCCCATTTGGTTAAGTCTTTTCCAATTATCAACCTGTGACTTTAGTTAGTAAGCTCGCATTAATATCTGTTCATGGACATTTTACAGATTTCCATTTATGGACATTCTCTGGGGAGTGTTCTCTCATATGACATCTTATGTCATCAGCACAATTTGTCATCCCCATTTCCAATGGATGCAGTATACAAGAAATTCTTTCCAGATGAAGAATCACCTCCATTTCCAGCTAGCGCCGACAAACCTTGTAGTTCGCATCAACCATCAAATCTTGAGCCAGAGATATCTAACAAGTTGAATAACACCGAGGAGGAAATCACAGGTGAAGATAGTGACATGATGGACGACAAAAAATCAACGGCATTGGAGGAGAATCACCACGATGTTATCCGGGAAGCTCCTTCATCGATCTCTGATTCTGTTGTGGACAATGTGAGTTTGGAGAGAAGAGGCAGCCATGACGATGACCATCATGATTCTAGTGGTGCTATTTCGTCACAGGATGGACAAGATGGAGCTGACTGTAGAACGTCTGATTCTTCATCATCCTGTTCTTCAGAACAATCATGGGAGAAAAAATGTGACAGTTCTAATAACGAGGAGACAATCAAGTTATTACGAGAAGAGGTAAATGTTGGCACCTTCAACTTTTTCAGTTCTTTGATGAGATTATACAGCTTAGGTTTCGTGCAAGTTTTCAACACTCTGTGTTCACAGCATCTGATACTTTCTTAGTTTTATGTTCTCTGAAGAACTGTTGTTAAGTTTCAACTTTTCAAGCCTTCAACACTCGTCTGCTCACAACATTTATGATTTTCTTAGTTTTGTGTTCTCTGTGGAAGTGTTGTCCAGTTTCTTTGCGGACTGACCAAAACAGAAAAAAAGAGCTACTTTTTCATTAGTAGTGGATTTTTTTTATATCTCAGGTTAACTTATTGAGGTCAAAAGTAGCGCAACTGCAATCAGAAAAGGCCAGAATATTGACGGATGGTATTAATTCTGAACCTCGGTTTCTATCTTTCCCAAATTTTGAGTAATGTTTGGAAACTTCTTTCGTGTACATCTTAGTGATGATATGAAATGGTGTTATGAACAGAAAAATTCATGACATCTGTGATGCCTGAGCAACTCATCAACGAGAAGGCGCTAACTAAAGATGCCAATGCACCTTCAAGCTTTACTCCTTATATCAAGTACCGAAAGCTCGAGTTCAAGGTGTGGGATTGTAGAATTTAAATGTCAATATCTCATTCGGGAACAACAGTGAAACTAGTTGTCGTCCTAACTTTTTGAGTACATATTCTTCTCAGGTTGACACTTTCTTTGCAGTTGGGTCGCCTCTTGGAGTCTTTCTCGCCCTTCGAAATATACGCCTTGGGATAGGTAATACTTGTTCAGTAGAGTTTTTAATTGTATTTTTGGGTTTTACGTAACATAAGTATTGGGGAAACAAGAAACACATAGATAAACAATCAAAGATAATTGGCTCAATCCGTATTTTTTCTTGCATGTTCTTTGCTATTGAATTACTTGTCTACTTTTCTTTGCAAAGTCTTTTTTATGTAATGTAAAAGCTGCTCAACATGTCTTAGGTAAGGGAAAAGATTACTGGGAAGAGGAGAATGTTATCGAAGAGATGCCAGCTTGTCGTCGAATGTTCAACATTTTTCACCCCTATGATCCTGTTGCATATAGGTTAGTCTTCTTGCAAAAAAAACTGTGTGTAGCTAGTTTATGATCTCTCCGTCTCTATTACGTTCTTTTGCAAGTGTGAAAACGCCAAAAAACTGAACTTTGTGTTTCACGCAGAGTGGAGCCACTTGTCTGCAAAGAGTACTGTCCCCAACGACCCGTTATTATTCCTTACCACAGAGGTGGCAAGCGGTTGCATATTGGATTACAGGTACTTGAAATCTTGAGGTTTAGTGTTTCATTTTTTTTTGCTTCATCTGCTAAATCTTATGTTCTATGTGATGATGCTCTCTATAGGATTTCAGAGAGGATTTTGCGGCGCGTTCACAGAGAGTAATGAATCATTTTGGTACAGTAAGGGTATGTGTTTTCCTTGACCTGTAATTAGTTGTCTCTGTGTTGTCACGTTGACTTGTAATTGTTATCTTTTACAATTCAATGTGCAAAAGACTTATCTTTAATTCTCATGCAGACAAAAGTTCTCACAATTTGCCAATCCAAAAGCGCGGATAAGCTAGATGGTAAAAAAAGTCTATTACTTTGCAAGCTTTTTCACTTCCCTTTGATGGCTCCAAATCTAATATAACTTGTGTGCGTGATTGAACAGAGACAGAAGAATCTGATGACGAAAAGGATGGAAGGTCCTATGGTTCGATAATGATGGAGAGATTAACCGGAACTCGAGAAGGTCGAATAGATCACATGCTCCAGGTGAAACTTTTTATGCATTTCCACCCAAATGATAATCGTTTATCATTCTTTTGATTCTTGAAAACTGCAACATAAGTTGAATAGAAGAATAGCTGAAATATGTGTTCTATGCAGGATAAAACCTTTGAGCATCCGTATCTACAAGCCATAGGAGCTCATACGTAAGTGGAAACTCTTTTCATTTGATAACACATTACATATGCGTTTAGAGCCAAGAACTCAAAGACTGTTTAAATATGGTGCAGAAACTATTGGAGAGATAACGATACTGCTCTTTTCATAATCAAACACTTGTATCGCGAGTTACCAGACGAACCAAACTCGCCCACGGAATCCACGGAAGGAGATGATGATAGTCCAAAAGACTCAAGTAGACCTCATAGCTGGGTAGAGAGAACAGAGACTAATGATGTTGACGAAGAAGAGCTTCCTCTAACATTCTCCAACAAACAAATCGCAAGAAGCTTCTCTGCAGAAGCCAAGAAATACCTGAAGAAGCCTTAAAAGACTTTGACCATAGGTTTTAAATATCTGAAATCCGGCGAAAGCTCCCTGATTTTTGTTTTTGTTTACTGTGTGTGCATAAAGTAACATATAGTGCAGAGAATGTGAAAAATAAAAACTTAGGCTCCATTGTAACCATAATTTTACAGATAATAAAGAAAACGATTGAAAGCTTCTTCCTTTGAGCTTGTTTTTTCTCTGTTAGCTTAGCTTTTCTCTCAGGTCTGGAGTTGAAGATGTTTAGCAGACATTGGCTGAAAAACCGAGTCAGACTCTAAAGCTGCAGCGAGTTCAGGCCACACGATAGCAGAGACCGACCACGAGCCATCGTTGCAGGCGCTAGGTCGTTGGTTAAGGTAACCAACTCCAATCTTCTCAATCGTTGAGCAAACAGTTCCAAGGAGAGGAGCACCAAATCCAAAATCTAATTCAGCCACAGGGAACCGTCGTCCTGAAGACAAGACCAGAGCTGGTCCTTCTTGTCCGAGAACCACCCGAGCCAACATCAGTCCAGGTCGGTGACTCTCGATCCAATCTATCAAATCTGTGAAATGGGAATCGTTTGTCACTTCGGTTATCGATTTATGCACTACGTTTGCTATCTCTGATACATGGTTCTGCTTCAGGCTTTCGACATTGGCTTCACCTACAGCTACAGACAAGACGTTTCCTATGTAGTTCGAGGTAACGGTCTCGAGTCTTCCTCTACCGTCAACAAGCCAGCCCATCTTGCAGGTCTTGTGACCACTCTCTATAGAATCCACCATTTTCTTCCACACGTAAGCGGAGAAAGCTTCGATCTTTGTCCTTCTCTCTCCGTTCACAGTAGCTACAGCATGCAACGCGTTTATGCTCGAAGCATCGATGTGATAGAGACGCTTGATGAGCGTTTTGGGCGTCGGTATGTTCTTGATCTCTTCCTCGCTGCATTTTATGAACGTTCTGTCTAAGAGAGGGTGGTAACGCGGAGGAGAGCGTGCACGGAGGAGATTTCTCCGGTGATCTGGTATACATGAAACCGGCTGATTTCTTGATATCTCTGACCATAAAGTGAGGAACTTTCCGAAAGAGGTCGCGTCTCCTAAAGCGTGGTCGAATGTGAATGTTAAAGAGAGGCCTCCGCATTCGAACTCTGTCGCTTGAATCTGTAGAGCGAAGTTTGGGTTAACGTGAACCAGCTTTGCTTGGAGAAACACGTCGAGGTTGTAAAAATCGAGACTTTTGAGATCAAAATTAGCTCGAGCTTCGACTAGCAAGGCTCCATTGTTGTTGCAGAGGATCATAGGCTCTTCTTGAGTGGTTTCGTTTTGAAAGATCTGACCCGCAAAAGGGTAGAAGTAGTCAAGAGCTCCGGCGAGGGAGGTTTTGAGGGATTTGACGATGGAATCAAAAGAGTGAGGTTGCTTGGGGTAGAAGTAAAAGTAGGTCACCGGAAAACGGCCAGAGAGAAGGTCGAGATTTGAGAGAGAAAGGCTATGAATTTTGTCCGTATGGTCGCCGGAAGCTTTAACTATGAACTCTCCGGTAAAACTAACATCCAGCATTTTCATTTTCAGTTGGAAAAGGTGTAAAAATCTCAAGGGAAGTTTATCAGCTGAATGAAAATGATACTTATAAAAAGAAATTATTTTTATTCGGTTTGTTTTGTGATAAATATTCAAAAGGAATGATCATTATTCGTTTTGAAACATCATGTGATTTCGGAACATTACATTACATCACTGTCATTTTGGATAAAAGTTTTCAAGAAAACAGAGTACGACTTTATTCATAAAACAATGGTTCAAATTAACGGTTAAGTTGATGAGAGACTGTAAAAGAATATTCGTTCGTACTCACGATCACAATTATCAACGAGTTGGTGCGACAGTATAACTTTAGTGGTTGTTGATAGACTAATTTTGTTGGAACTTTATTCAATAGATTTGTACGAGAGCATCATGTTAACATGTCATGATCATGAATTTGTCCTTTCTACTTATATTATTTTAGCAATTTTTTTTTATTTTGATTAATAAAAAATAATGAAGATAAAGCAATAAATAAATTAAAAAGGACAGTTATGATGGGCCAAAATAATTTTGCGCCTTATTGTTATGGCCCAGGCACACATATATTGGGCTTATATGTTGTCGTTGTTAGATACACGTGTTACGTTTTTTACTCGCGGACCATGCAGGTAATTTGCACGCGCTTCTCTTACCCGGACTTTCGAGGTTTCACATGCATTATGAGAAAGAAAACCACTAAACAATGTTCTTGTCGAGAAATATTTATTTCTGTGAAATCATAATGACTAAATTTACATGAAATTTTTTTTTTTGGTATTAATTTACATGAAAATTGCCAAACCGGTTGATTTCATTAAGATATGTTCGGTTCTAGAGTCTTGAAGAAAACCAAACCAAACTGATGCCGACTTCAAGCCATTTCTGTTCACATAGATTTGGATTGTTCGCTTGTTTTTAACAACCCATATTGGCAATGGTCAAATCTTGAAATTATTCTCAGTAAATCCAATAAATTTTTTATCGAAAACGAAAACTTTCGAGTGTATTGAGACAATTTAATCCAAGTCCTTCAAAAATTTGTGTCGTGTATGTTTCACTGCTTCAAAATTTTCTTTAAGAACAAAAAGTTCCCAAAACTTTCTCAAGAACAAACACTTTCTCTATTCCCGACGGATCTCAAACTCCGCACCTATCGGTAAATGGTCACTCGGGTGATGATGGTTCGGTAAGAAACCAACAACATCTGGAGATTCCGGTTCTGGAAGTTGTAGGATACTCACAGGTTTGATGAAATCTGAAGGAGAGAAGAAGATGTAGTCGAGTGTGTTTGTGAAACCAGGAGTGCAGTTTGTGAACTTGGGCTCTCCTCTCGTCGCTTCATAGACACTGCACAGAGGAACCGGAGCTTCTTCTTCCTCTTCTTCTATGGTCTCTGCAGCTTTCGAATTACCAGATACTAGGTAACTATACACCTGAAACCACAAACAAGATCGGTTTTTTTTATTCGGAACAAGTAGAGGGAAACTCAAGGTAAGGGATTGAATCAAACCTTATCCCCAGGAATTGAATTGAAGTCACCAGCTAGTAACAACGAAGGCTTGCACTCGAATTCATCTGATATTAGTGTCTTGAACTGAGCTAGTCGTGAAAGTAGATAATTGGCTTGTGCAAGCTTCACATCAGCCAGCTCCGGGTCCCTAAGAGAGAAGCAGACATAAAAGTGAAACATGTGGAGAAAGGATAAATCTTTAATGGGTGACAAAAGAGTTCTCTTTTACCAGTAAAGATGTGTGTTTGCCACGATAACGATGTGATGAAACGGCTTGTGGATCCTAAAAGCAGCCATTATTCCCACACAATCGCGTTTTAGTCTCACTAGTGGATCATTAAGGTCACGGCTGTCTTTTCGAGAATCTTTTTTTTCTTGTTTTCGGGGCAGATTTGTGGAAACATGTGAAAGAGAACAATAAGATAAGAAAAAGGTTGGTAATGATGTTGAGATATAAAGAAACACCACAAAGAACATATTTACCTTTCGCTTTCTCATCTCCTTTTGCTTCGTTGGATGTCTCAGTCTTCTGTTCGCTGCTGCAGGAAACACTATCTGCCTTTATTGAGTCCACGAGATCATTATATTCGATCCGTTCTTTGGTGATCAACTCTGCACTAAATCCAAAAAGAAGAGTGTTGTTTCAGTCAGATTAAGGTTTCTTCATTAAGTTAAAACGTTCTTTGGTCACGCACGCCTAATGGTTTTAGTCATACCAGCTTGGCTTGTAGAAGATTGCACAACCATCACGCTTCCTCTGACCGGTTCTCTGTATATAAATCCCAGAATAGCCCAGAGACTCCATGGTTTTTCTGTAATAGCTATCGTACTCATCTACTTCCTGCAAAAACTTTCAAAAATATAACTAACAAAAGGAGAGACCCCATGGTGATAAACACTATTGAACAACACTAACATTTTATAGACGTATGAGTCTGTCTATTGGATTGAACATTTCATTAGAAAAGTGTTTCTTAATTCTAACCAAACACAAAAGAAGAAATGTTTCAAAAGGAAAAAAAACCTGCAGACAAAAGAAATCAGCCCCGAGATTTCTGAGGACACTGAGAATTGCATGTGAACGAGCTTTCCATCTGAGGCACAAAGAAAAGGAAGACTAAATCACATTTACTGCAGATATCATAACACTATTATAAACCATCTTGTCCTAAGCTTTAGCCAATGTTAATCTATGGCTAAATCCAAAGTACATGTTGGTTAAAGGATAGATAATGCGAGCAATACCAAACACAATAATGCCAGTTTCTAGCTAAAGTTCTTGGACACGCAACGGATATAATAATTGATCGTAAATAAAGTTTGTGAGGCAACTATTGACTGAAGTTTTTACACTCCAGGCCATTGAATACACAACTCACACAAAAAACTCTTGACTAGTATAAGAATAATTGATTTCGAAACTGAGAAACGTAGAGAAGATTTACTTGAGACAGGCAGGTGGAGAGTGAGGGAGAAGGGCGCTCTTCACATAAACCTAATTGAGAAAAAACGAAGCTCAAAGAGATAAGAAACCACAAGACGAAAGAATCAATCCCAGAAAACACAAATTGTCAGTGACGCAGTTTGGTGTGAAATCGACTTAGAAATCACGAAAAGTTTGTCACTTTATTTACTACCTGAGCTAATATGTTATACGAAACGAGACGGAATCTGATACCTGCAGCAAGCACGAAATTCTCATTACACAAATCCATATACTTTAGATCTAAGCCACAAGATTTGTTAAGTTCAAGAGGAATCAGCAAACAAACCATCAGCTTTACTTAGTGAATTAATATCAGCTCCTTCAACGGATTCGAATTTGCGAACTTTAGGTTCCATTGCAGGGTTCGTACTCATCCTTTTCGAAAGGATTTTTCTGCAGACTCGAGAACTGTTTAACCAAAGGGTCAAATAAAGAAAAAGAAAAAAAACAATCCTACTGAACATCAATGTTAAGTTGAAATTAACATTCACAAAAATCCAATTGCAGCCCAGATAAAATCCAGATTCGAGAGGGTTTCTTCCAATAAGAAGAAGAGAAATTTCTCGCTACACTAATTTTTTTTTTCTTCATTCTCTCAGAACGAAATTGCCCATTACCATTGAAACAGATGAAATCGATTTCGTCGCACTACAAAATCGGAAACTTGAAATTACTATACAAAAATAAAAAAGGAAACGCACCTGGTGAAAGGAGGAAGAATCGGACGAGGAAGATGAAGATGACGCAGAGGATTAAACATCTATTGAGCAGTGTGGGTAAACCCCTTTTTGGTTGAAAATACAATATACGGCATGAATAAGTAGGAAATCATCAGTTTGGGCCCTTTACTTATACAATAATTCATTTAACGAACGCTTAATTTATTTTGTTTCATATAGAACCCAAATATTTTAATTACAAGTTTAGAACCAATTCTCTATGTAGTCCACATACAGAAAAGTACATCAAGATGCATCCTAAAAAGTTTATCGGTTAATTTATTTTACAATATTTGGTGGGGTGATTCTTCGAATGAGAGAATATATAGGTTTTGCTGTGTTAGATAATCTCATTAAACCAATTAAGATTTCGTGATGTTGTGATATCAAAATTATTTCAGTTTTTGGCGTAAGCATGAATTTAGGTCACCAGAGACTTGGCTTTTACATCATCCCACACATCAGGTTTCGTGAGTGTTACGTCATCTGCAAAAAGGAGTCTTGGTTCAGAAACGCAACTCCAAAATACCCGTATTCTTGTGTGGCTGGTTCCAAATACAATGGAGCTCGAAAATGGAAAGTGAAAAAGTTGTAAATCTAAAAAAAAAGCAACATCATATATAATTACTTTCCTATTTTGGAATTAATTTTTTTTTTCTCCAAAGCGAAGCATTTAAAGGAATTCGTATAGAAAATAGGAATTTTTAAAGAAATAAGGAAAGTGCCTCTGCGAATCTTTTTAGATATATATATATTGTTTGTATATACATATCATATATGATCTCCCTGTCCGATCAGCAAAGCATGAACAGAGGAGTAGAAAATTCAGGTTCCATCCCTGATGATCTCTTTACGGAGATAGTCTCGAGATTGCCTTCTCCATCTATCGGGAGGTTGCGGTGCGTGTCGAAGTTATGGGATTCCATGCTTCGTCGTCCCTATTTCACCGAGTTGTTTCTGACAAGGTCACGGGCTCGTCCGCGTCTTTTATTCGCTATCATACAAGATGGTGAGCGGAGCTTCTTCTCTTCGCCTCAGCTTCAGAATCCATACGATGGGAAGGTTTCCCTCGCATACGAAGCTCTCTAAAGGCATGTGCCCTCAAGGTTTGCGTGGCCCTACATCGGGTTTGTTCTATTCCTGTAGCATGAAGATCTCACCGAAAAAGGATGACGATGCAGATGCAGTGCCTGTGATATTTAACCCTACAACAAGACAGTATGTGAGCTTACCTAAACAGAGACAAGGCATAAATTTGGAAAGCTTTTTAGGGTTTGATCCGATTGACAAGCAATTCAAGGTATTGTCCATTGCTGAAAACAAGGATGCACATAGTATTCTGACATTAGCAACTGGAGATATGATGTGGAGGAAGATCCAATGTCCCTTAGCCCATAAGCATTTGAGTGGAGGAGGGATATGCATCAAAGGGGTTTTGTATTATACAGCTTACCAAACTGATTACACATCTTGTTGGATAGTTTGCTTTGATGTTAGGTCTGAGAAATTCAAATTCATTGAGACACAAGGTTACTATGGTAAATTGATAAACTATAAAGGTAAATTAGGTGGGATTAGATGGAAGCACGATGGCAATACTCCTGAGTTTCGTCTTTCGGTCCTAGAGGATATGGAGAAACAGGAATGGTCTAAATATGTCTACACTCTGCCGGAGAATGCTCCCGTTGATCACTACAAGTTTTCCATCGCTGGAGTGACAGCTACGGGTGAAATTGTTTTGTCCATGGTCATTGCATTTAAATCTAAACCGTTTTATGTTTTCTACTTCAACCCGGAAAGGAAGACTCTCCAACGTGTTGAAATCCAAGGTTTTGGAGATAACTATCATGAGAATCTTTATTATAATCTTTTTGCCTCTGTGGACTACGTCGAGGATCTTCATGTTACCGATGCAAAGTACCTCAAGCCAATGCCCAAATATAACTAGTAACGATCTGCTCCATCTTTGAGGAACAAATATACCCTTTGTTGTTGGCTAATCTGATCCTAGAGGCCAAGGGAAATTCATGTATAATTAACAAGAGTCTAGCTACTTTCTGCTGTGAGTGTGACTTCTCATTTACAGGTTTGGTGTGAGCTCTCTTCATATATCACCATCTGTTGGCTTGCTGTTTTGTTATAATTGCATTACGTACAGTTTACTTGGGAATTAGGAGCAAACTTAATGTTTTATCCTACTCATCAAACCCTTTTTCTTTTGGTTTACCTTAGTCAAATAAATCGGAAACGTTTACACTTGTTGTAACAGTGGGGTTTTTTACATGAATAAAATCTAACATTGATCAATTCAAAGAAAGTACTAATCGTCGAGAAACAGGAATGGTCTGTGGTATAATGAACTCTTTAATATCAACAAGGTTTCATTCGCTGGAGTGACAGCTGCGGGTGAGTTTGTTTTCTTTGTTAACAAAACATCATCAAAATGAAACAGAAACTCTATGGAGATTCTCATTCCCCAAAACCTTATTCTAAAATTAAAAAAAAAATAGTAGTTGTACCATCAGTCCATCACTTATATATTTTGCACCACTCCCTCAAACTAGCATTACACTTACCATCATTTTTCGTTGTTGTAATGCTCTCTCTTTTGTAATGTCCATTTTGTACCAAATGTTGTTTGATTGGTTACCAAATAAGCATATTACAATTTGTACTTATATACTTGTACCCAATTAAAGCCACAATGTTAGTGGTTAGATCGCTATTGGCTGTAACATACATAACTTCCGTAAATTCGAAGTATCTTTTGAACCGATATCGAACCAAATTAATTGAACCTTGATTTGGCTCGGTTCAGATGGTTAGGTACGGAATACATATGCCCTAGCTAGGCCAGGAACTCTCTCGAGTCTTAGGTGGTTCCTTCTTTTGGTTTAAATCAGAAAGTCTCTGCGATCAACAAAATACACAACGATCATGAACTCCATCCCTGATGATCTTGTTTTCGAGATATACTCGAGACTGCCTTCAGAGTCAATAGCTAGGTTTCCGTGTCGAAGCTATGGGGTTCCATGCTTTGTCAAGCAATTCATATTGAGAAGTGGCAGAAAATTCATATTGCTATTTAGGGTTTGATCCGATTGACAAGCAATTCAAGGTATTGTTCATTGCTCGTCTATATGGTGAAGCATGGGATTGCCATAGAATTCTGACATTGGAAACTGGAAAAATGAGTCTGAGGAAGATCCAATGTCCTTTAGACCATGAGATTTGGTCCGACAGTGCAGCTATATGCATCAGTGGAGCTTTGTATTACTTTGCTGAGAAAATTGATACAACGCCTTTGATAGTTTGCTTTGATTTTAAGTCTGAAAAGTTCAAGTTTATTGATGCAGGAGGCTATTATGATGATTCTTCTTTTGCTCAACTGACAAACTATAAGGGTAAATTAGGTGTGTTTTATCGGAATTATGATGGCAATGGCAATACCCTTGAGTTGCGTATGTTGGTTCTAGAGGATGTCGAGAAACAAGATTAGTCGAAATATGTCTACACTCTGCCGTATAATGCTCCCGTTGATCCCTACAGTTTTTCCTTCGCTGGAGTGATTGCTGCGGGTGAGTTTGTTTTCTCGATGGACTATTTAGGTAAATCTAAACCGTTTTATGTTTTCTACTTCAACACCTTTTGAAAGTGTTGAAATCCAAGGTTTTGGGGAATACTATCATGAGAATCTTCATAGTGTTGATGCCTTTGTGGATTATGTAGAGGATCTTCATGTGAACGATGCAAAGTACCTCAAGTCAATGCCTAAACATCATTAGGAGAAAGGCCAAAACTACCGAAACCACAGAGAAATCTGCAACTTTCATACTGAGTTATTAGCAACCTAGAGTTAGAGCTGTCTAGGCTTGAGAGAGAGGACAAGGTGTTGATTTATTGTTGGAGGCCAAGTCAATTTCATGTACAAGAGTCTGCCTAGTTTTGGCTTTGAATGTCTGTAGCATTACCACTCTGTTGGCTTAGCTATTTTTGTTATTCTTGGTTTGCATGTTCATGTCTTAACTATGTTTGACTTTACTTGGGAGCAAAGTAATGTTTTTTTTTTTTTAATCAAAAGTTCTTTAGAAGTCCTCTATATTATTCTTGTTTCGGATGACAATCACAAAACTCTTCTCAGTCAATCCCGGGAAGAGACCGGATCGCATTTAATCATCCGATGGGTGGCTTGACGATCCCTAGTCCTGAAGATGCATTTTTTTTCACATTGCAGCTTCTCTCATATCTAATGATGAAAATCATATGAATAATTTTTTGTGTTTCTATGTTGTCTTTGAATAAGAATCAAAACAGAGAGAAAAGCAAATAATGAAGCTGACCTGCAATAATCTGCAGCATCCAACAATTACCTTTCCTGCTTTGTCGTTTCTTCTTTCCATAACTTTTACATCAAGAATTGCCTTGTTGATGATAGTGTCTGAGATAGCAAAGAGATCATTCCTCAATCCTCATCTTCCATATTCTCTTCTCCACCTATAGGTTCTAATGTTTTGTTGAATCTGCCTTGTTTTTGGAGTAGAGTAGCAATTGATGTAAAGCATTTGAGAAAAAAGGATTCTCTCTCTGTTTGCTTCTGTAACACGACAAAGGCATTGGTATAAACAACTAGATTACTCGTTTTTGGATACATGCTTTCTTTTTCTTTTTGTTTAACATCAAGCTTTCTTTCGTTAAACTGGTCTGCACGACATTAATAAATTTGTAACCGGAGCGAACCAAACCAAATTACTCAGTTATTTCCAATTTGTATAATTAGATTACCTTGTGTCTCACACCTTGGTGTCTTATTAGGTTAGCGCCGACTTCAGAGTCTCACACAACGATCATGAACTCCATCCCTGATGATCTCGTTGTCGAGATATTCTCGAGATTGCCTTCAAAGTCAATAGCTAGGTTTCGTTGCGTGTCGAAGCTATGGGGTTCCATGCTTCGTCGTCCCTACTTCACCGAGCTGTTTCTAACAAGGTCGCGGGCTCGTCCGCGTCTCTTATTCCCTCTCCTACGATGGGAAGGTTTCCGTCAGTTTTCATATGAAGCTCTCTAAAGACATGTGCCCTGAAGGCTTTCGTGGCCTTGCATTTACATCTGGGTTTTTCTATTTCTCTAGCATGAAGATCTCACAGAAAAAGGATGAGAGTGCAGATGCAGTGCCTATGATATTTAACCCTATCACGAGACAATATGCGAGCTTACCTAAACTGCACGGAGAGTGGAGAAGCTTTTTAGGGTTTGATCCGATTGACAAGCAATTC